GGATTCTTCTGGCTCTTGAGCTATAATTTGGACGATACTAAGCGGTAAAAGTCCCATTAAATAAGTAACGAATTCTTTTTTATCTATGTTTATTCTCGTAGCTTGGCGTTCAAACAATAACAAATATGTGCTTATATCTGTTTCATTAGCATCAAAACTTTTGATTAATTTAGATAGATCACTAGATTTAAATGTGTCTGTGGTAGTTACATGAGTTCCATTTTGTTTATTTAAATTATCCGATTTTAATTTCTCAAGTTGAATTTCTTGCGCTAATCTTTCTTTTTCATTAGCTAATCTTTCTTTTTCTAGTCTTTCGGAAACAATTGTTTCTAAGAGGTTTTTCGTTACCTCCTCGTTATATTCTTTACATGAAGTTATACATTTAATTATTTCTATAATTTTTGCTGCAGGGGGCACATCAACAGTTAATTCCTCAGCTAATTTAATCAAGTCCTCCTTTCTAGCTCTCGACAGAAAAGTCATTATTTTATTCTTTAAGATTCAGAAAAAAAGAAAATTCTGTACTCACATGGCGGGGTAGCTTCTGACACCAAATGTAAATGCCTTGGTTACCATTAATAAAGTCAATCAAGACATTTAATGATTATGCTTAATGATAATGATTCTTTAATGATAACATGAGTCACACAGACTCTTAAAACAATAAAGATCGAACCACACAGGTTCCAGTTTCACACAGAAACATATTTCAATTAACTAATTTTATAGTCACTTAGAGTCTTAATCACTAAGATTATCAGTTTCACTTAGAAACTACACCGACAGACAATTCCAACTGACTCTCTTCATTTACATCAAGAAAGTTCTATGCCTTTCGTTCAGACGAGCGACATCTGGCGGGATAACATAGAGGTTGCTGTCTCGATTATTACATATATATATCAGAAAAATAACAACAAAAAGATTATATCCACAATTTCACAATTTGGTCTTTCCAATATTGTATTAATATAGTCATTAATACAGCCAACGCAAGATATATTCATGCAATAGTGTAAGGAGCACCGAAGAAAAAAAAATAAGCCGATTCGCAAAAAAATTTTATTAAGAAAAATAACAAAAAAGCAAGAATAAAAACACAAAGAGGAATATATAAAGCTTTGTACATTCATATAAAGTGTATGTCACATCTTGGCAAAATGATTTAAAAACATATTCGTAGTTGCCAGATTAAAAAAATATGAAATTAAAGTATAAATAGACCGTAGTGAGGGGGAGATATATTTTTAAGGCATGTTCATATTGAAGTTAAGAACTGCATTTGATTTGTCTGTTACCTAGGATTGGCCCGAAAACGGGATTTGCTCTTGGGGATAATATGTTACTCTGGATAATTCTGGATGGTTTTTATAGAAAATATTAGCATTTATTGAATAATATTAATTATTTAATTGAATATTGTAGGAGGGTGTTGGTTAGTTATAAAAGTTTTAAATCACTGATTTACCCGAATTTAATTTGCACATGGCAGAAACATCAATCTAGATGGCTAAAAGATTTCTATCTAAATATATTCTTTTATTAACTTTAATACGCCACCATCTTAATGCTTTTGAATACAAACACACACACATATTGTAAGCAAGTAACATGGACAAGACAACAAACTTAGACAATAATGAGACAATTAAAGTTATAAAAGGGCAATGGAAAAGCGATGTGACTCAGAACTGACAATCACTGCACTTGAATCATCTTTAATTTGAATCGTTAGTTGTGATATCATTACGTAATCATGACGTTAGACGACCAAGAAAGCGATTAAAACACGATGTTTAAATGAAATTAAGTGGAAAAAACAGCAGATCTGAATTGGAAAGGAAGAGCAACAGATCAAAATTGGAGAAGACCTTTACCCAGATATATTTAAGTAAATATATATATTTTTAAAATATTTTTTAATATTTTTTAATTTTCAATTCATTTTAAATTACAATAGAAAAAAAAGCTTTTTTCACTTGGTTATTTCTAAAGGTAGGAAGGAAAGCATTTACTCATAGAAATCAAGTTCATTCGGAAATCCATATTTCTTTATGTAATTGCTTCTTGCTTGAAGGACGAAAATCAATCTTTAAACTTTTTCTTCACTTTATCAACTAACTATTGGTAAGCGATAAGCAGTCTACGACCTAGAAGAATTGTTATAAACAACTATTCTTTAAAAATAAAGATTCAATAACTAATGGAGCATGAAAATATTCATCATGTTCAAGGTATTGATAATTGTTCATATAAGTTTTGATAGAGAGCGAAATAGTTCACAAATTTATTTCTTCTTATTTATAATCGTTTTTTTAAACTTGCGAAAACAATAGATTATGGTTGAAGGATTTACTGTATAAATATGATGTGTGGTACAGGCTAAATATTTAAAAGCATCTTTTTAAGTAATTAAACGATTTATTATAGTTAATGAAAAGGAAATTAAATAATTTAAAAAAATATTTTTGCATGCATTTTAAGCAAAGATACAAGAAGTTGGTTTATATCAACTGTAATAAATTTAAATATCAAGAATGCATTTCTGAATGTTTGATTTTAACTGATTTACATATTTTTCGGATACCGACTAAACTGAAACAGAACTAAACGCGCAAAAAATGTTTAAAAAACGGGATTAAAATTTTAACTTTATAAATTATAAAATATAAAATAGAAATGCATACACTCTCAGAAAAATCGGCTTAACTTTGAATCAGTATACTCATTCATTATACGGTGCAAACCTAATAAAATGTGCAATTGAATCATGTTTTTTAAGCAATATTTTGTAATCAAATTTGCGAAGTTTGCTATCAAGGTTCAACTATGCATCATATTTCGATTGCTATAAACGATATTATGGTTCAACCAAATATTATGGCATGTCTAATTTCAAACTAGTTGCACTAAGCTTTTTCCGTTTTTATACTTTAAAAATAATAACAAAATTTTGCACTGTAGAAAGTAAAAATTCGTAAAATTTACGGTTTTAAACTACAGACTTACTTACTAAATTACGGACTCACTATTATGTAAAATGTTCGGACTTGCGATGTTAATCCTTAGCCATAACGACTTTTTACGGAACAAAAACAAGTTTTTTTCGTAACAGTTACTAAGGAATTCCTTAGTCACAATGGTTTTTTATATTACCAAAACATGTTTGTTCTGTAAAAAGTACAAAGTAGATCTTTACGTCACAATGAATTTTTACCATATGGAAGCAAGTTTTTACAATGAAAGTTGTGACATGAACTTGTACTCGCAGAAGATGTTGATATTTTAGGTGATGCGAGCTGGGAGAAGTGTTCGTAGCGACTAGTCATCGATGGGATTCGAACCTTGATCACCGCATTGAAAGAGGAACGTTCTTTTTGATTTGTTTAAATAGTATTAAAAATATGGCGAGATGCACAAAAAATGAAATTAATATTGAGGATGCTGATTTTTTTTATCGCTCCCCCATCAAAACTATTGTGACATTATATTTCTGATTGCGGTTACGCCTACCCCAAATATTTTGATATAACAAGTATCAACTTGTTAAAAATGCACCTTTATTCATTTACAGTTTTTTGTCTTATTTTGTAACTTAAATCATCGTCAACACAAACTGATAAGCATAATGGAGCTTAACCCAGGGCTGTGGTAGCGTAGTGGTTAGAGAATCAGAATCTGGTCCGGAGGGGCCGGGTTTCGATCCTCGACTCCACTAGGACCCCCCGAGTACATGCGATATACGTGCCAGTAAAAATTTGTGGAATCGATAGTAACGTGTTCAGTCGTTGAGCGGGAACATGGATCTGGAGAAAATTTCCTTCCCTTCAGATCTACATCTAAATTTAGGAAAATGCTTTACAAATGAGTGGTGCTGCCATCTATCTGTGGGATCTGAGCCATATATCGTACTTTCACCCTTGCGGTGCTCTCTTGACCAATGAAAGGAGCCTCTTTATAACTTAATTCGCAAAAAGGTCAATGGCTATCGAGCTTGGCTTGTCCAAAGGTCATTAGAAGCAATAACAACAGGTTAACCCAGGTAAATGATATTTTAGTACATCGTAGTTTCTTAAGTACATGGTTTATTTTTATTTAAATTTTTAAAACACACTTTTTTAATGAGATAAGAAATTTTTTTAATTAAACTTGTTATTAATGATGAAGCACCTACACTCTAAAAAATTCCGAGTCAAATAATGGTACAAAGTATTGGCATCCTGAGAGTCGAAACTGTGTACTGTAAAACGTTACGGAACAAAATCTGATATACCGTAGCCTTCATAGTAATATTTACAGTAAATCTAAATTACTGTGAAAATTGTGGTATAAATTTTACGGTAAAAATTTATTCTACGGATGCTACAGACAACTTGCGATTACTTTATATCTTAATTTGATTCGGAATTTTTCATAATTTTTGTTATAACAGAATTATGCTAACTTCACTTTCGATGCATAGCTACTTTCCACACAGCCACTTTCGATAGTAAAACACATATTTCATTATCTTTTCTTAATAAAATAAATTTTCTTAATAACAAATTAAATGCATTGATTAGAAAAAATAATAATATTAGTTTAGCAATATATATAAAAAATTGCCACAGAAAATATGTAAGAAAGAAGAGCTTAAGCAGAATAATTGAAAATTTATAGACACGTAAATTTTCAGTTTATTAATTAAATACAATTTAATATGTATAACCGCTTTTTTTAAGACTTTAATAAAACAAAGCGAGAATAAGTGAAGCGAGAATGTGTTTTCCATGTGTGAAGAGTATCAATTAGCGTAATCTTGAATCACGTGTTGTATTATTCTAATTAAAAACGCATTACATTTTAAATCCACTATCACGGTGTCTGATTTTCACGCTTAATAAATATTTTTGACTTCTGGCAAAGACGGTGATATCATTTTTGCAAAAAAATCTAAGAAGATAAAGAATATCTGTTACTTTTTCAAGCGAAGAAATGTAAATAAATATTTTGGTGTGTAACGAATCTAGACTCTTAATTTAGCGTATTGTTTATATTAAGAAAAAGTGTCATTATTTAAAAATGTCATTACGAAGATTCGTTTAATTTATTTCCTTGAATAAAATACACACTTGAGTTATTGATTTTTTTGTTAGTGAATGGAACTAGTTTTAAAATTCTGTTTAAAACAATTTTGAATAAAACTTTTCTTTCGTATAACAGCCATATCAACAACGTAGTATTTCGAAAAATTTTTTAAATTTTACTCTTGCTTATTTTTATCAAGGAAAGTTTCGCTTTCATACGAAAAATTAAAAAGAAAATCAAAAAGGTTTATCAAATTTAGTGTTTCGATCAATTTCTAAGCGTATTTCTGCACTAGAGAACATTCCTAAACTAAAATGATAACGTTTAGCTGCTATTTGTATTGTTACTGAATTGTCTCGTTATTACAACAGACGATAGCAAAGTCAACAAGTGTTCATTAAATGAAATATGCAGGTAGGTACTTTATTTACGTCGCACTAGAATTGCACAATGGTGTGGGAAACATCCCTGAGGATGATCCGAAGACATGCCTTTACAATTTTGATCCTCTGCAGATGAGATGGCTAATTTACTTAGGTAGCTTGACACGACATGCGAGTGAACTCAAGCACATTACGGTAGAACAGTTTAGCGAGGACCGATAGTGCGCACCCTCGGTCCCTACACAGGCTGATCAAAGTTGTCACCCACCCGATTACTGACCGCAGCCAGTAATGCTTGACTTTGGTGTTCTACAGGGAACTGAGTCCTTACGATTAGTCCACGTAACGATAGGACGTAAACGATATAGAGGTTACCTAACTGAATATTTTTGCTTCATATTAAATTACACTTAAGTTACCGACTTTTGGTTAAAATTACCATATTTTA